TAGTCTCTAATTTAGGAGCTTAAGTTGGAAAAGTCAACCGGATGTTGACTTATGTGTAGAAGGTCTCGGATGTGAATTCTGATGGTTCGGATAGCTTCGTTAGGTGATTTTGGACTTAGGAGCGTGTTTGGAATGTAATTTGGAGGTCCGTGGTAGATTTAGGCTTGAATTGGCGAAATTGGAAATTTGGCATTTTCCGGTCAGCAGTGGAAATCTTGATATCGGGGTCGGAATGGAATTCCAGAAATTGGAGTAGGTCCGTTGTGTCATTTGTGACGTGTGTGCAAAATTTCAGGTCATTCGGATGAGGTTTGATAGGTTTTTGCATCGTTTGCGGAATTCAGAAGTTTAGAAATCCTTAGGCTTGAATCCGAGGGTGATTTGGTGTTTTAATACTGTTTTGATTGTTCCGAAGGTTGGAATAAGTTTGAATGGTAATATGTGACTTGTTGGTAACTTTGGTTGGGATCCCGAGGGCCTCGGGATGAATTCAGATGGTTGACGGATTGGTTTTTGAGGTTTGAGAGTTGATGCAAATTCTGGTGTGTTTCAATTGTTATAGCCGCACCTGCGGAGCGGGAACTGCAGGTGCGGCAACGCAGAAACGGAGGATCAGCCGCAGAAGAGGCCATGGCTGAGAGGGAAAGAGTTGCAGGTATGAACATCGTACCGCACCTGCGAGACCGCAGGAGCGAGAAGTTGACCGCAGAAGCGGGTTCTAGAATTTAAGTAAGGACCGCACCTGCGATGGATTTTCCGCATGTGCGGCATCGTAGATGCGACTAGAGGACACCATATGCGGAAGTGCTGGGTAGAATGTATATAAGTTCCCCTTCGCGAATTTCTACCATTTCTTCATTATTTTTGGACGAGTTGGAGCTTGGGGACTGTGATTTCAAGAGGGAATCAAGGGTTTTCAGTAAGGTAAAGCTACTTGGGCTTTGTATCTTGTGTTTATGACGATTATTCCATTGTTTAATCATGATATTAGTGGGAAAATTGGGGGATTAGGGCTTGAAATTAGAGAGTTTAAATTGGGGATTTGAGGGGCCATTTGAGGTCCGATTTTGATGATTTTGGTACGTGTAGATTCGGGAGTGAAAGGAGTTTCTAGTTTTGCAATTTTTGTTGGATTCTGAGACGTGGGCCCGGGGAGGGGGGGGGGGGTTGAGCAAATTCGGGATTTTGGGCCTAATTTGATAATTTTCGTGTGGGTTTTATTCCTTTAGCGTGTATTGATGATAATATACTGATTTTGGTTAGATTCGGAGCATTTGGAGGCCGGAGCGAGAGGCAAGGGCATCGTGGGTTAGAGTTTTGGCTTGGTTTGAGGTAAGTAACGCTTCCAAACTTGGTTCTGAGGGTTCGAAACCCCGAACTTTGTGTTCTATGATTAAATATTGAGGTGACGCAAATGCCAAGTGACGGGCGTGCACCGTGAGGATTGCGGCCTGGATCATTCCATGGCACTGCTTAGTGACTCTTTCTTGCTAATACCCGTGTAGTGATTATGTGATTTAGTTAATGAGCTGTAAATCATGCTAATTATCATGTTAGGGCTTCACGCCGATACTGTTGAGACCCGAGAGGTCATTTCTTGCTGTCATAACGTTATCTTCATTGATATTATGTACTCAGTCTTGTTCATGCATATTATATCATGTCTCAGTCTCAGTTATTATTATTTGGCACATCATGTCATTGTGTCGGGCTAGTTTCTCGGTATTTTGAGCCCTTGTGTGTGAGACTGGAGAGTTGTGACTGAGTGAGGCTGAGAGCCTAAATTTGAGTGACAGTTATGGGATCGGGCTGCACGCCGCAGCAGATTATTGATTATGCCTTCATTGGCTTGTTATAGCGCTTGGGCTGAAAGGAGCCCCTCCGGAGTCCATACACCCCCAGTGAGCGCGGATGATACTATTGAGGGATGGATTTCCCTGGACATGGATTTGTCCGAAATATTGATATTATTGAGGGATGGATTTCTTGGACATGGATTTGTCCGAAGTACTGATACCTGGAGATGGATTTCTCTTCAGGGTTGGATTACCCTTGTTCCTCGGTACTGGTTAACTTGAGGTCAGTGTTGTTTATATATATTCCGGGATGGATTTCCCTGGGCCGGATGGCCATATGCTGTACCGAGTGGTTGAGCACTTGAGAGGGGGAGCATACGGTGCATTTTCATACATTTCTGGCATTGACATGTAGAGTTTTACTGAGCTTTATACGTTACATTGTTCGGATTAGCACTTTTCTTTACTGTCAAGTTAACAATATTGAATTGCCAGCATGCTTACTTTTCTGTACAATTTAAATGTGTTATAATTGCTGAGGTTTAGTTCGTCACTACCTCTCAGTCCAATGTTTGGACTTGTTACTTACTGAGTTGGTGTACTCACGTTACCCCCTGCACCTTGTGTGCAGATCCAAGTATCTCAGGCCACGGTAGCGGCTGTTGACTGTTCCAGAAGCACATTTCACCAGAGATAGCGAGGTAGCTGCCTGACGTACGTAGTTCCGCCTTCTCCCTCTTTATCTTCCTTTTAGTATACTTTGGATATTTCAGACTATTTTGGTCTAGTTGTGTTTCGGTACAAGTGTAGTATTGCTCATGACTTAGTGACACCGAGGTCGGGCTTGTATTTTCCACTTTTGTTTGGTTTTAACTTTATATCTTTTATGGAATATCAGTTGAAAATGATATTATTTAAGCTTTAAGTGAAATGTTGTACTATTTTGAAAATGTGTCGGCTTGCCTAGTTTCACGATTGGCGCCATCACGATCGGGTCAATTTTGGGGTCGTGACAGTAGCAATTGGATTCAAATGATCTAGGGAACTAAGCGTATTTTGGTTGATCTACCAGAAGATTTTCATGACGACGAGGAGAGGCTATACATTCCTAGATTTATAGCAACATGCTATCACAGCATGCTAGTCGCACGATCTATTTATCTAGTATGAGTGATGCAAGAGAAATGGAAGGAAAATTTGTTTCCCTTATCTTAATGGAGCTTGAGCACTCCCTTATGTGTGAGTAGGAGATGTTATGAGCCTGTTACACTCATAAGGGGTGCTAGCTTTAGTCGGCCCATTAGGTCTAACTCAAAGCCTAAGTGCAGTCTATATAAACACCATTATGGGTGTTGGGAGACTCACTTGTCACAAGAGAGAACGACTAGGGTTTGTTCTTTGCATGCATCTTAGAGAGGGGTAGTAGGTTGTGGACAAAGGTAATGCATCCGATTCGTGAGGATTCATGGCGATAGGTGACACAAGTCGTGGTTGCTACAGATCCACTTACGTTAAGGAGAAACCTGTAGGTCTCCTAACTAGTATTTATAGATAAATACTACACTGAATGAACATGATTTGTCATAAGGAATATAGCATGATTCTAAGTAAAATTTTGATGAGAGATACCAATGATCCCTTTCTCTTTGTTGGGTCACAAAGTGGATGTAGAGAGTGTAGTTTGGCATATCACCAAGTTTGAAAAGGTCAACCCAGGAATCTGGGATAACAAATGTTGTTTCTTGTCACGACCCAAAATTCTACCGGAGCCGTAATGGCTCCTACACCGCTTGCTAGTCAAGCCAATAATAAATATGCAAAAACAAACTTCAACAACAGTAAGAACGCGAGGGACAAGATGGGAACATGGATATCTGCTGCCCGACCTCCTCCAACACTTCCCGAAGGCGAAGTCACATGTGCGAACACGATAGACATCTCCTACAACACTCCGTGAACGTGTTGCATCCCTGTGAATGCGATTCACAAACCACCAGCAACCAAAATGCTCTACGCGATCGCGAAGCTCCTTCCATGATCACGAAGCTCATCATATGCACCAGAAAATCAGCAATGCAAACTCATCCGAAATGATCTGAAACCACCTTGAAATCCACCTATGCCCATCGGGATCCCGTACAATCATACTAACAAGTCCAAATACATCTTCCAAACTTATCCAAAGGCTCAAGACACCACAATTAACATCAAAACCAAGAAGCGAAGATCAAAATCCTTCTCTTAACTTTCAAACCTTCAAACTTCACTGAACTCATCCGAATCATACTTAGACACTCCGGATAAACCAAACTTTGCACACAAGTTCCAATCAACTACATGAACCCAACCAAGGTCTCAAATCCACAATAGGAGTCAGATAACACCGAAGTCAACTTCTGGTCAAACCTATAAACTCTCCAATTCTTCTAATTGCCAACTTTCGACAAATAAAGCCAAATCTTTCTAGGAACGTCCAAATTCAAATTCGAACATACGCCCTAGTCCAAAATCACCATACGAATGTATATCAAATCTCCGATGTTATTTTCTCAAAAGTCAAACCTTGGTCAATTCTTCCAAGTTTAAGCTTCAAAATTTAGAATCACCCTTCCAAATCAACTTCGAACCTCTCGAAAATCAAAACCAACTATACACGCAAGCCATAATGTGTCATATGAAGCTATTCAAACTCTCAAAACACCGAACGAAATGTTAAACCTCAAAACAACTCGTCGGGTTGCTATATTTATATTGCCAGGTACAAATGTTTATTTTACAATTACAAAATGGTGCAAACCCTTCTTCCTCTCATTTCTGGAATATTTTTCAGGCTATAGGGTGTGTTTAGTATGAAGGAAAATGTTTTCGTTGAAAAAGAAGTGATTTTCTTACTCATTTTCTGGTATTTGGTTAGGTAGCAAACAATATTCTTTTTAAAAATATATAATTTAGACAAATACTAAGGGAAGCGAAATGGGTAAGGATGGGGAGGGTGGTAGGTCAAGGTTTAGGTGTCGGGGTACTGATGGCGGAGGCTTGGGTGGGGGTGTGACGAGGGGTAGGCTAGGGGTGGGGTCGTGGGGGTGTGGGGGGAGGGGTTGGTGGCAGGGTGAGGGCGGGAAAATGGGAAAACATTTTCTTTTCATACCAACCACACCCATAAAATTAACTGTTTTTCCAACTAAAAACAGTATATATTTCTATAAATAATAAAGCAAGTGTATATTATCTGTATAAGATACTTTTACTTTTTGTACATAAACTCTAAGTTAAAAGTTGTTTTACATTTTCAAATGAGAATGAAAACTAGTAAGCTCCATAGAAAAAGTACTAAAACTATTTTGTACATATTTACTGATTTTCACTCCTCTCTAGGAATCCATCTGCTCCACCATAAACTTTTCTTTTGTCTGCGAAGCTCATCGATACTCTCATTTAGGGTTCTTAAAATTTTCCTTTGAAGCCGAAGTGCTGATGCAAGGGCATTCCTCGGCGTGCTTGACTTCTTCTTAGGCTCTATATCCTGTAAATCTCAAAAGGAAATGACAAAGTGTATCAGGAAATTCTACCCTAAACTCTATTAACCAACATTGGTATCCTGCGGTTTTGAAAAGTTAGATTTCCACAATTTTCACCATGCAAATATGTCAATGAGAAACAAAGGATTTCAAAGCTAGAGGTCCCAACCTTAATGACCGAGACTAGTTATATATACCATGAGAAAACATACCCTGAGCTCCTGAAGTTGCGCTTCAGTGAAGCCGCCATCTTGTTCTGTTCCTGATTTTGCCATTAGTTGAACAATCCAGTTTGCAGCTTCACTATAGTCTTGTTGTGTAGCCCGGAAGAATTGCAGCTTTAGGTTCTGAATGAAGGACAGGGCCAATAGACCTTCTCTATCAAAGTAAGGATGAGCTAAAGCTGTCTTTGCACTAATTCTTTGACGTGCTTTGAAACGAACCATAGATGCTAATAGCTCCCATCCTATTCCACCATCCAAATCTAACAACTCGAAGCCTTTCCTAAGTTCAGGGCTAGCACGAGGCTCTACAGTCTGTCTCCATGAAACTAAATCATAGTCGCATCTCTTCAGCTGTCGGTTGAATTGAATGAGACTACTGTCACTGCGTAATCCTGGAAATGCCTATGATGGAATGAACAGTAGCAAAGTGCTTGTAAAATCTTCAGGAGGTGTATCAGTAAATGTAGAAGATAGAAATATCAGCATTTAGTTGACCAAAAAAAAAAAAAAAAAACTTATTTTTGACTGTAACGATTAATTTTAGTTCCAGAATCTTGTGCGTGAAATACTCAAATCTAATTTATTTTTGTTTTAACTATCCGGTATCCGAAGCCCATTGACTAGACAAATCCGAGTTCGCACTAGGTAGGCCCCCCAAGGGGGCTAAACCGCTCCCTACAACTAGAAGTTCTCCATTCTTAGGGCTCGAATCTATGTAAGCTGCACATCACTCAGTGATGTCAGATTCTTAAGAATAAATCCTATCTCCTCAGGGGTGAAATTATTAGATCGTGCCCCAATTTTTAACAGCACCGTTCCACATTGCTAAAGTGTCAGTTAGCCATTTCCAGCTGTTGTTTTATCATATTATATATTAATACGTAATGTGGATCCAGTTGGAACATGTAAGATCGTAAGAGTACATCTTGCGCAATTTGTTAAAAAGTTTAAGATTCCAGATCTTGGTTATAGGAGCTAAAGAAAAGGAGAAAGGAAACCTAAGAAATAATTGCTCTGCTTGCTGCTAGCTTAATATCCATAGCGTCGAAGTTCCTATTTGCAGGTCATACTTCAATTTCTTCCTCCTGTACTCAAAGGAATGATATCTATATATTCAATTAAGGAGAGAAAAGAAATGGACATTCATTTTGTTGTCTTCCTTTTAATTCCTGAACTCAAAGGTCTAGGTTCTCCAGGAAGAGCTAATTTTATCTAAGAAATATTTATGGTTAACAGCTTTTGAGTTGAAACTTACCATTTGCAGGAATATGAGACCGACACTGTAGATGTCAAATCTATCTGGGAGATTCAGCTGTTAAAAGAATAGGATAAAACATAGTTAATTTTACAGATAAAATAGAGGTATTGGGCAAACACTGAGTGACTGCGGTCATCAAACCTGCCATAGAACTGGGGAAAGTGCAGCTGCAACTGGAGCAGATGGTGCAGAAGGGGTTTGTGTACTCATAATATATTGCTCTGGTGCAGCGTATCTTGACCGAAAAAGACAGACAATTAGATAAACAAGTAAACCAAATTCATTAGTAAAAGACCTAGCCATATAAATATACCAAGTTATAAATGCTATTATCTGAAAGTCTGCTGAAAAACAGATAATCAATAACATAGAATGCTCTAATGAAATCTATTTTTTGTTCACCTTTTAATGGTACAAAGGTAAGAGTGAAGAGCATACCAAACTGGATAGTCAATATACAGTTGGATTAACATAGTGGAACTTAAATTGATCCTTGAGACGTCAAGTGAAATAAGAGATCGACTCACTTCGTTATACTTGAATAACGAACAAAATCATTTATATTCTGTCCATCTCTTCCACGAGTAAATTAAGATAATACACCTAATACCATTAAAAATAACAAGCAGAAACATGCCATAATCAAATGTCAAAGCCATCTAGGATAACATCATTGCCGGTAATGTACCTCCGAATGTTCGAGACAAGTACTCATATCATTATTAAGTACATAACATACTCATAAATAGGGAAAATCTGAAATTTCAATCCTCAATTTCAGGCAGATTACTCTGTTTGGTTCCACATTTTTTTTTATTTACGGCATGTAACGTTCAATTAGTTAGCTTGAACAGTCTGGAAAGGACACCTTTAAGCTCAAATATAAGGTTGATTTTCCTGATAGTCTTCTAAGAACTTATAAGGGTTAGCACCTATGGTTCATGTACGAGGTCCAAGGAGATCTGGTTATAAATATCAAAAAGTGTGATTAACAACATTCAATTCAGAAAATATGTAGGTGGAACAAAATGTCTTATTGTTGTAGTCAAAAATTGGAAATGGATCGACAAGCATGTTGGCTCTGGAAAAATTGGAGATGTTTTTGAAATGAATATTCGAAAAGAATGATAAGAAGACATCAATATGAGCTGAATATTATAAGCTAATCTATCAAGGGGATAATTAATTGCAAGAAGCAAAATGTAAAGTAGGTCACAGAATTTTAAAAAAAATATATCTGGCAGTATTAGTGCAAGTAAAATAGAATGTGCCTGCAGTTTGAACAAGAATTTCCACTTCCGCATACACAAACTACTCATTCCACAGAGTAGGAGGGAGATAACCTTGGATCTAAAAGAAACTCTTTTGGAATATAATTGATCCCTACTCTCAAATCCGCTGCAGCTCCAAGATCAATTATTTTGAACGTGCGAGAACCTGCTTCAGATATACAAGAACGGATTAGTTACACAATCAAACTTAACCACAAATGTCAACAAGACAATTTACCTTCAGAGAAAATTATGTTTTGAGGCTTAATATCTCTATGGACTATCCCCGTGGAGTGAAGACCATCCAAAGCAAATAGGAGCTGTCTCATAATTGTCTGAATGATTCTATTTTCTCTATCCAAACCCTTGGGCAAGTCTTGAACCTCTCCAAGGATCAATGCTTCTACCTGATGATTTAATAAATCATGATAAAGTCAATGAACAAAAGAGAGAGAGAGAGTATGTGTGTGTGGGTGGGGGTTTGGGGGTGGGGGGAGGAGAAGAAATCAGATAGTAATATTCATAGCTATTTGTTGTGAAATCAGAAGTAGAGAGGGTCATGTGAAAGGAAAGAGAATACTCGTTGGCTGTGAAATCTCTCTTTTACAATGTGAGGTGAAGACTGGAAGATAATGTGTCAATACTCAAAAGAAACTTGACGACATATATAAACATGGTACGAGCGGATAATTAGGCTTAAATTAGAGCATTTATTACATATCTGAACTCGACGAGGCAGTTTTATGACTGCACTGAATGGTGAATTCTCATGGATAACCTACTGTAGAATCTTTTCTAAATTAGAAGGGCATGTGCTTCATCTTTGTTTATCTCTTTTAAATTAGCGGAAAACTGCATTTTCTGAATGTTTTATTCAACATCCCTTGTCGTTTAACTTGTTCAGTATCTATGATATACTTTCACCACTAAAATCAAATACCATTCTTCTCAGCTCTATATTTACTAATTTCCCTTCACACATAAATGCCTTAGATGGATATTTCTCTTATATCTGAACTGAGAATGTTTTATGATAACTTTTTCTCAATAATGTTTCGTTCAATAGAGAACGTTACAACAATAGTTATCTCTGCGAGGATTTCTCCTACACTTGGATCTTTTAGGTGACTAATATAGACCAATGGAGCTCACCCTCAAATATCATAGTATCCTTTGGTAACTGTATATTCTTTAGGTTCTATCTTCCATCTGATCTTCCTTTTCTCTCAGAGGGAAACCTCCAAAGACCTTGGGAAACAAATAGCCGTCCACCTCAATCATAATGATATAAGCCCAGAGCTGTAACTTCATCCAGGATAGTTCGTAAGAAAATAGGGAAATTCTTAATGATCTATCCAAGTCATGCCATCTCTTCTTAAATTGGAATTACAGAATATTCATCATGAGCGCTTAGAGTACATATGTTTGGATCATTATACAAGGACTGCTAGTGTTGTGGTTCTTTTTCTATGTTTTTAGATAAACTACGCAATGTGCATTCGACCTACATATAAAAGCTGTTAAAAAACCTAAGCTAACAAAAAATTGGAAGCATGATAAAGAAAGTACCTACATTGTAGGGAAACTCTCTACTCTGCATCAAATCAGCAAGTGTAGCTTCCCCTTCGAAACGCCAAAGGAGCCAATACTCTGCTCCTTTCTTTGAAGAATTCTAGCACCGTTTTAAACATAATTAATTCAAACTCTTAGAATTAGATTGCAATTTTCAGAGGTGTGATAGTATCTAAAGATGAACATGGCAATGGCTATCAAACAAAATAACAAGTGTACCTCTAGAAACCCATAGACAAAATCAGCACAACTGTTTGCACAAGCTCTACGCACTCGCTCATTCATCCATATTTCCACTGCTCCATATTCAGTTGCCTTTTTTAAGACGAAATCACCACCCTTGAGGCAAATAAAATCGGAATTAACCAGCCTGTTTGAGTTACAAACCATTCCTTTGAGCTTTTGTATACAACAACAGAATATATCAGAGACATACCTTTGACGATGGCTTTTTGGCCAAAGAAACTCTATAAACAGCACCAAAAGATCCCTCGCCCAATTTCTTCCCCAAAACGATATCATCCTGCAGAGAGAAGTTATGAGCATAATGTCACATATCGAAGAAGAAGACCTAAGCAATTGAGATGTGGTAAAGTATCACTATCACATCACCTTCTTATAAGTAGGTCTAAACAATCTTTCAACAAAGGCAAGAACAAACATATCGAAGAAACCAGGGGCCACACCAGGAGTAGCCCAGAGGTAAGACAGGGTACCCAATGCCAAAATAACACCAGGAACAGTCACTGTGATCCCATTTGACTTTGGCAGTGTGCTTCTGTATATTATATCACCACACTCCATTACAGTACAGGGTAGTCCTACCCCAACTCCAACAAAAAGATCATGTGCAAACCTAAACATTTCGCCTCCATGAGCATAAACTATCCTTGAATTCGGTTGCTTCTTCAAAGATAAAGGCTTCAGCTTGAGTTTGTTGCCCAGAAATGAAGAGTGGCTGTGGCTGTGGAGTACAACTCCACCTATGGCAACTGAAGCCATGGCTTTCTACACTAAAGTTATAGTTGGATCAGAAAGGGCGGTCATCAGAAACTTATTAGCTTTCGTTTGGACTTGTTACTGAATTTTTCGGATTTCTTTTTGGGAGATTCCTTTTGTATCAGTGGCAGTTATTGCAGGTGTATTTTTTGTGGAGGGAAGTGCTTGATTAAATTGGCGAAAATCCATAGCCACAAATGACACATAGTTTCACCCATTGGCTCTGTCTTTCACATATTTAGTGGGCTTCTTTTACTGAATATACGAGGGCTATACGCACTAGTAGCCACTTTTAAGGCTGTTATTTAAAATATATCCACGCTTTACGATATACTTAATGAGTAGCCATTTCATCCAATTTTATGATTAAGTATCCTGAATTTGCAAGTCAGGAATTAATGTCCTAAATTTTTGTGCTGCTAATTTGAAATTCAGGATTTAAGTGTCCTGAATTTCTGAACTGCTAATTTAAAATTAAGGATATAAGGTTCGAACTTTTGGGCACAATTTTCGAAAGTTAGGACACGATGTCCTCAAGTTTGAACTTTGGGGTTTAAACTTCAGGACGCCGTGTCCAGAAGTTTGAGCGAATTGGCTAATCTTTAAATACATTATAAACAACATGCTTAAAAGTGGCTACCTGGTATCATTTCCACTATATACGAAGGGCAAAGTGCACAAATAACCATTTTGACCCATATTTAAGGAATAATAAAATTTACAATATTTCTAAAATTTAGCTAGATTAGAATCAAATTCAGACATACGGGTTTGAAGCTAGGCTTTGGCAGAGCCCACCTTGAATTTGAACTTTAACTTTTCAAACTTTAGGCCTTCAAGGATGAAGTTAGGTTTTGGCAGAACGCAACTTCAGATTGAAACTAAGCAGCATCAACAGCACGTTCAATTTAATTTTTACCAAAACTGGGTAAACCTGAAATAGTTTTTATAAACTGAATATGATTTTTATTGGTTTGCTACAAGCAACTTCCTAGTGTCATTTCTACATTTACGAATGAAGAAATTGTACATTTGAACTTGAACTGATGTGGTAAGGCAACACCAAAGTTTTGCCCTTTCGTGATGGGATCCTTCTCTTCCAGGTGTTAGAGACCTTGTGTAATGATCCGGTCAATCGTTTTGAGTATTAGAATCTCGTTTCTCCATTTGATTCTTTCCGTAGAGTCTTTTGATGTTTTGTGACATGCGACGATAGTTGGTTTGGTTTCGGGAAGGCTCAAGAGTGATTGGAATACTTACTTCAGTTTTGGAAGCTTAAGTTGTTAGAGTTGACAAAAGGTTGACTTTTGAGTAAACGACCTAGAAATCGAGATTGAGGGTTCCTATAGGTTCATATGATAATTTTGGACTTGGGCGTCTGTTCGAATTTGGTTTTGGATGTTCCTAGAAGATTTTGACTCTAATTGCCGAAAGTTGGGAATTTGAAGAATTAAAGAGTTCTTAAGTTTGATTGATAGTTCACTTTTGAGTTATTGAGCTTTGATTGTTGTTTCGAGACCTTACATAGGTCCTAATGGTTGATATAAACTTGTGTGCAAAGTTTGGTTATGATAAAAACTGTCTACTTATGATTTGAACGCGTACGGTGAAGTTGGAAAGTTTGAAAGTTAAGGAGTGGATTTGATCTTTGATTCTTGGTTTTTGTTGTTATTTTTTATGTTTAGAGCCTTGAGATAAGGTTATATCAAGTATATAGACTTGTTGGAATGATTGTACGGGGTCTCGAAGTGTTCGGATGAGTTTTAGGGTGATCTCAGACCATTTTGGAATAGTTTGCAGCAGCCGATACTATAGGTGTTGTTGCAGTACAATGCAATCGCATAACAGAGATTCACGATTGCATAGAAGAATTTCTAGTCGGGCTAGTTTGCTTTGCGATCGGGGGTGTAGGTACGCGATCGCGAAGAAGGAATAATGTTGAGGCTGTTGTGCTTCGATTGCAGGCCTTGGTTAATGATCATTGAAGGTTGTGTGGTCGGCATGCATCGTGATCGCGACACTGGAGATGTGTTCGTGTAACGTCAGCAAGGGGTCTGACAGATGATTTTTGCGGTAACATGAGGCGAGCCGCGATCGCTTAGGGGCACTGGTCAGCTCTGCCCCATGATCACGAAGGCTCAGTCATGATAACATAGAGTAACTCCTAGGCAGTATATAAGTGTGAGATTTAGGGATTTTTGCCCGTTCTCTCATATTTTGAGCCCTAGACTTCAAAAGGGGCGATTTTTGCAAGGATATTCCACTCAAGTCATGAGGGTAAGTAATTTTTACACACTTTTGATCATTTCAAGAATCTACACGAATTTTAACCGCTAAATCAAGGATTTAAAGCATAGAAATTTGGATTTTTTCGTATGAACTTAAGAGAGTAAATTTGGGGGTTTTGAACATGCAATTGAAACCCGATTTGAAATCTAATTATATATTTGGACTCGTGGTGTTGTGGGTTATCTATATCCATGATCAAATTCGAATTCTGGGCTCGGGGCCCGAGGTTGAATTCTTGTTGACTTTTTTATTTGGGTTAAAGATTGAATTTTTTTGATAGGACATAATTACTAAAGCTTATATTTACTCAATTACACAATATTTGGCTAGATTCAAGTCGTTTGGTGGTAGATTTGAAAGGAAAAGCGATTTTGGAAGGTTGAAGGTATTCCTTAGAAGAGGTAAGTCTCTTGTTTATCCTTGTAAGAGGAAATACTCCACATAGGTGATCTATTTGCAACCTGTTGCTTGATTTGACAGCTACTTATATGTGTGGTGATTAGTGTATATGCGTTAGCTAGGTTATGACCATGTCCGAGTAGAATTAGGCTTGTAGTATGCCTTATTTGGACCGTATGAATTATTTATCCACGTTTCTTTGATTCTATGATGACTATGTGATGAATTTTAACTATGATTAGAAATCATGTTTCGGGTTATGGCTTATTGATTTGGGCACGAAGGGTTTCTTTCACCATATTGAGCTTTTTGATTAGCTGTAGTCATACACTTCTCATGATTTATAATTTAGTGGCTACTTGGCTTATTTTACTCATGTTAGAGATCATTATTAGACTTATGAATATTGAATAAGCATATGGAACTGTTATGAAAAGTTGTATTATATGTTTCGCAGAAATCTCTTATCCATGTGAACAATCATCTGCATTTTTATTAATATAGCCTGGTGCATCTTAATTATATTATTTCATACGCATATGCATGAGTTGGAGAACTGTATATTGAGGAAAGTTCAGGATTTTCGCACTAAGGAAACTATGAGCGGATGTTGTCTATTGGTCATTTACTATGATTTGATTGATGTTTGGATATAAATCTGTCCCTCTAGAATCAGTTGACTACCCATATTACTTTGGGTCCTTTGAGTGTAGACACTAAATTGGTGCTTGGTTTGGACACGTGGATTGTGTCAGGCACAAGGGTTTGTGTTGTGAGGTACTGAGAGTGAGTTCTGAGTATGCATATACATCTTAGACTCATGCAGTGGCTCTTATATAACTAATGATTGATACACATCATATTTTATGCAAGAATTGAGTATTTAACATTGTATTTGATTTGTGTATGTGAAAAGCATGCCTAAATTCCATATTTACTATATCCTTATGTTTTGTACATAATTGGAGATACCATGTCTTATTGCATATCCTATTTATGCTTTCACTTGATATTTGGACTATTAGTGAGTGTCAATGTCGATCCCTCGCCACTACTTCTTTGATGATAGACTTGATACTTACTGAGTACCATGATTTTGTACTCAAACTATACTTCTGCACATTTTTTGCATATTTTGAGGCTGGTACTAGTGGTACCCATCCAGTAGTGTAGGAGCTACTTGGAGACGTCATGGTGAGATGCCTTATTTTATCCGATCTGCAGCACATGGAGTCCTCCTTCCTTAATTTTCTATCCCCGTCTATTTATTTCTTTCCAAACATATGATGTTGTTCAGTTGAGACAATTTAGCATCGTTAGATGCTCGTGATAATGTGACACTGGGTTTTGGGGATTGTGAGACTATTGTGGTCGTGTCTAGACCCTATCTTAGACTTATGTATTTATAATGTTGATCTGAGACTTATTTTGCTTTTTTATTTACATCATGACTCTGCTAATAACTTAATAATTTGCTTTTATAATTGTTGTTGAGTTTTAGCTTGCCTAGCAAGTGGGCTAAGCACCATCACAGTCGTTGGTGGCTTTTTGGGTCGTGACAAGTTGGAATCAACTAGGTCGTAAGGGTCTCACAAGTCACGAACAAACCTAGTAGAGTCTTGTGGATCGATACAAAGACGTCAGTATCTATATGTGAGAGGCTATAGGGCTTTAAGGACTTTCCTTGTTTTATTCCTTATCGTGTGTCCAAGTCTAAATCTTTCTCTTTTATTCTCTCACAGATGGTAAGAACGCGTGCTTCAGCAGTTGCAGTAGTTGATGGAGAGGCTGCACCACCAGTCGTATCGAAGAGGGGCAGGACTCGGGGTAAGGCAAAAGCTCCTACCAGGAGTCGTATAGTTACAACTAGAGGTTGAGCACCCACCGGAGCCTATGAGTGCACTAGGGCAGTGTCAGTGGACCCACTAGCGGATTAGGTGGAGGATCAGATCATTGATGATCATGTTGAGGCTTCAGTACCAGCTTAACATCCGGAGGGTTTTGTTGCTAGACCAATATTTTGAGGAGGTTATGGTCAAGATGGTCAGTTTCTTGATGCATTAACTCAGGCTAGAGTAGTTTTAGTGGCCCTAGCCATATCTCAAGTTATAGGGGGACCTCAAACCCCTACCACTCGTACTCCAGAGCAGGTAGCGGCAATGTTTCAGACAACGAGAGTATTGCTTACTGGCAGCGAGCAACCCATAGTATCAGCTATACATGAGGTTATGCCTTCCATGTTTGCTGAGGAGAAAATGAGGGTTGGAAAGTTTAAAAGGCTACATCCTCCTCACTTTGATGGTGGCCCTTCAAGGGATGCACATGATTTTCTAGATAGATGCCATCAAATTCTTCACAACTTAGGTTTGGTAGAGTCTAACGGGGTGGACTTTACGACATTTCAGCTGAGAGGGGCTGC